GCCCATTTTAGGGCTATAATCTATATACAAGTTGGGGATCCAGCCTAATCCACCGCCCCTCGGGGCGTTGTTTGTTAAAAAAAAAAAAAACCTAGCAGCTACCGGTAACTAACCTAGCAACAAAAAACAACTAATCTAGCAGCAAGAAAGAAATAACCTAGCAACTTAAGACAACTAACCTAGCAATAAAACTCAACTAACCTAACAGAAATAAATAAATAACCTAGCAACAACAACAGATAACTAACCTAGCAACAATAGACAACTAACCTAGCAACAAAACACAACTAACCTAGCAACAACAGACAACTAACCTACCAACAAAACACAACTAACCTAGCAACAACAGACAACTAACCTAGCAACAAAACACAACTAATCTAGCTACAACAGACAACTAACCTAGCAACAAAAGACAACTAACCTAGCAGCAAGAAAGAAATAACCTAGCAATAAAAGACAACTAACCTAGCAGCATCAGACAACTAACCTAGCAGCAAGAAAGAACTAACCTAGCAACAAGAAAAAAATAACCTAGCAACTTAAGACAACTAACCTAGCAGCTACAAATAACTAACCTAGCAACAACAGATAACTAAGAATGGAAACTCAATTGATATTAAAAAATTTCTCTCTCTAAAAACCCTTCTCCCCCAAATCGCCAAAAGTCTTCCCCCAAATTTCTTTCCATCCGCCTTCCTCAGCAAAATCGGGGCTCGGCCAGTGGTAGCCCTCGGCCGCTCATCCCTCTCTTCGAATTTGTGCGCCTCCTGAGGTTCTCTGCGATGGCGGAAGCTGCGGCTTGGTCGGTCTTTCCTTCTTCGGGTGAGGCCTCGCGGACTAAGGTCGTCGGCCTTCCTGCGTTGCACCGGTGTTGGGTGGAGTGCGGTTTAAGGAGAGGGGCGAGACTCTGACGGTTCGTGGTGCTTTGCGTCGGGGCGGTCGGAGTGAAGGGGCTGATTTTCTCTTCTCTCCTCGGTTCTCTTTTGTGGGGTCCGGTGGAGACGACGCATCTGTACTCGACTAGTGGTGTTAGCAGGGTAGGGCCGTGCTGGTCTAGGCTAGTGGTGTTAGCCGGGCGAGGGGTGTTTCGGTTTTCTCCGGCTGGGGGCAAATCATTTTTTGGATGGATTCTAGGCTTAGGTTCGGCTTCAGCTAGGCAGTTAGGCAGTTTCGGTTGCGGTTCCTGGGCCTTTGGATCTCTCTTGAAATTGATTGATCCACTGTTCGACTCGTACTTTCTGCTGTGGAAGGGCTATGCTTGTTATTTGTAATTTGTTTAGATTTGTTTTAGTTTGTTATTGTGTTGATTGTGTGTTGCTTAGGAATCGTATTTTTGGTTTGGGCCGTTTGGCCTCTGTGAGCCCGGGTGTCAATCTTATTACTCCGTTGGGGTCCGACACTCTGGTATTACCCTGTTGGGGTCCTTGTAGTTGTTCTAGTTGTTTGTGTTGTTGGTTAGTTTAGTGGTGAGTGTGTTTTTTATTCTAGCGTTGCTAGTCGGGATTCTAGGCGGGCTTCTGACCTATCCTCCGACTTTTTCAGCTGTTGGCTGCTGTGTATTCAGCCGTTGGCTGCTATGTATTCGCACATTTGTGCATTTTGATTTATAAAACTATCTATCGTTTCGGAGACAACTAACCTAGCAATAAAAGACAGTTAACTTAACAGCAAGAAAGAAATAACCTAGCAACAAAAGACAACTAACCTAGCAACATCAGAAAAATAACCTAGCAACTACAGAGAACTAACCTAGCAACTACTAACCTAACAACTACAGAGAACTAACCTAGCAACTACAGATAACTAAATTAGCAACTACAGAAAACTAACCTAGCAACAAAACTAACCTAGCAACTACAGAGAACTAACCTAGTTGGAAGGTTAGTTGTCAACGGTCAACGCCGGAAGTCAACGGCAAATGCCGAAAGTCAACAGATTTCGCCGGAAGTCAACGTCGGAGTCAACGGTCAACGCCGGAGTCAACGGGTCAAAATAATATTTAAATAATTAAAATAATAAAAAGGAAAAGAGTAAATCTTGGCCACACATGATATGTACCAAATCTTGTGGCTAAAAATGAGTCTTACGTCCTCACTTTAAATAAGTGGATGCATTGGAACCATTCCCTATATATATATATATATATATATGTATATATATATAAAGGTTTGATGATTTTTTAAATAGTAACTATTTCCCTAAAAAAAATGTATTTAGTATTTTGAAAAATTAATTTAGCAATTTATGGTATATTTTAAATAATCAGTTATGGAAATTGCGGCTCATTATTTAAGGAAATAATTAAGCCATATAAAAATACATTTTTAAGATACCTCAATTGCTCAAATTAATTTATCAATTTATAGTATATTTTAAAAATTACTTATGGTAATTTCATTTTTAAGATACATTAATTACTCAAATTAAGTGAATTGCTAATTTACCTAATTGTGGGAATTTCGGCTGCAATATCAATTATGTGATTTAGTAAAAAAAATTCCAACTAAATTGTATAATTTATTATCAATTTCGGCTGCAATGTCAATTATATTTTTCGTGTAAGTTTTTTGTAAAATACATTTTTAATATACCTTAATTACGTAAATTGTGTGAATCCAACTGATTTTCCAACGACATAAAATTCTCATTAAAAACGCCAACTGGCAATGTACAAGAGCAAAGCCCGAATCCTGGGTAACTGGGAGGTTGCAATATCACCAATGCAACCTAGACGAAATACTGCTCGCAACGCGAGAAAACCAACTACAACAAAACACTAACGAACACTACTACAAAACGACTAATAAAAATATAGAACCCTCCCAACAGGAGAATACCCGAGTGCGCTCCCACCAGGAGAATAAAGTTGCACTCGAGCCCACTGGGGCAATCCTAACACACAACAACAAAAATAAAAACAAACACAAACAACAACACCAACAAACCAACAAACACAAACACAAAAACAAAACGAAACAGGAAACAAATTAAAACTGGCCCTTCCTCAGCTAATCGACACCGCCCTAACCAGTAGTGACCGATCGAGACAAGAAATATCCCGAGCCCAAGTCCCGCTACTGAAACTGCACGAACGCCTAGCAGTAGGTGAACCCAAATCCCAGAAGAATCCCCGAATTGACCCGCTGTTAACCAAAAGGAAACCACAGCCAATCCAACCCTCACACAAGATCCCCCTGATCACATCTAACACCACTAGCTGCACTCGAGTGAACCGGACCCCCGCCGCCTAACACCACTAGATGAACGGAGGATGGTGATGGTGTCGTGGTCCCTCAACTCCGACCATAGACGGCCCGAGAGGACATAGACGGCCACTGGAAAAGAGAGGAGGATCGGTCCCTCAACCCTGACGCCGGCGAGGCCACATCCCGCCCAATGCCAGAGTCCCACCCCCCTGCTAACCCATACCCAGTCAACCTCACCGCAATCCACCTGCACCAAGCCGAGAAGCCCCAAAACGGATCCCCACTGGAAAAGCCCCAAAAGGAGCCACACCAGAAAATGAACCGCCCGATGGGAGCCCCAAAAATCATGACCAAACGCAGCAGGAGAGAAAACTTACCTCCAATTGAGACCAGCCAACAATCAACGCCACCATTGCAGCCCGATCGCCGACCAAGAGGCAAGCCCCCTCTAACCGCGAAATCGCCGTTGACCTAGGGCACGACATCCCTTCTAGCGCCGGAGCACTACGGCAACATCAGGGTTCAGCTGAGGGGGCCGGCGGTCAAAGGCGACCACCGGCCGAAGCCGCGCCGCCGCCAAGTAAGGCTTCGCTGGGTTGAGAAGCTCGGCTTTGTCGCAAAGGTTTTTTTCGGCGGTAAATGGGTAGGGTTGATCTTATCCGACTGATTTATTCAATCTGTAAATAATTACAACAATTATAGAAATATCGACAACAGTAATTAATTATGTAGTTTGCAAAAAAAACTATAGTAAAAAATTGTGTTAATGACAATTTTTATTTAAATATTATTTAATAAATGTTATTCATCTTTTGTGTATTTAATTGCTCAAATCGTGGATAATTAAGAAATAATTTGACTGTAAAAATTACATTTTTAAGATACTCTAATTACGCAGATCGTGTAAATTCGGTTGATTTATTTAATTATAATTTCTTATAAAACTATTCTAAAATAATTGTGTTATTGGTAGTTTCTATTTAATTATTTTTTAATAACTGTTTTTTGGGTATTTTTTTATTTTTATCTATAATAAATGTGTTGTACGTTGTGCAATTAATTTCGTGGTTAAATTGAATATCATTTTTTGTATTTTATCAATAAAGTATGAAATCGAATTATTTGGTATATTATATATTGATCCAATTTATCCGCTTATGGTAATAAATGGTATCTAAATATTTTTTTTCATATTGCTAAGCATTTTACTCGATATTAATGAAAGAAAAATCTGGATAATACTATGGTCGATTCTTCTCTGTAAATTTGCGTGGAACATATCAAAATATTTGGTGTGTGTGTGTGTATGTAAAAGTTTGTTTTTACTTAAATCACATTGAGTCAAATCGAATTCCTGAATAAAATTTTAAAATGACACCTATTTTAAAATAAATATAATGTAACTTATTATAAGTTATTTGCACCGGGTCATGTACGAATTTTAAATAAACACGTTTTATATAATTTTGCACAATTTAAATTTCATATAATATTTTCAACAAATTAATATAGTTAAATTGTATTATATATCAATTACATATTTCTAATTTATAAATATTATTTAATGAGCATTTGTAATTCATAAATATTAAAGAATATTTTTTACTCGTGTATCGCACGAGATTCGTAGTAGTTAAGTACTGAACTACATTGATTTTTTTTTTTTTTATTCATTAATTTAACATTATAAAAGCAAAGATCAAACCCACCAATTAGCTGCTTTATTCATAGTACCAAACTACATATAATATTTAATCTACACCCAATGGAGATATAGACTTTGATCATCAATCAAGTTGAAGCTTTCTTGAACATAACCCTGAAGGGAGCATTATCTGTCAAACCCAAAACTCTCTGCCCATCATCCTCCACAAAAACCCCAACATCTTTGCACATAACTTTGCAGTAATTACACACCGTCGGGCAAAAAACGAGCTTGTAATCACCCTCGTATTCCTCGATCTTGAACCAGTTGCTAACAGTTTCCCGTCCCGGATTTCCCTTGACCCCACCAGTCGAGATCAAATACCGGCTGCTCGACTCTTCTCTCTCTAGAGTCCAAACCAACGACTGAACGCAAATCGACATACCAGAAAACTCGATGTTTTGGTCTGTTGACACACGGACCACGCTCTTCTTGGGGTTGACCGGGTGGAAAGTCAACGGGAGGCCCTGGTCAACTTCCAGCTGTTCTTGGACGACGTTGAACGGGCAAGTCCGGTTTCCAGTGGACCCCACCGTGAGCCCGCCACCCATTCCGCGTACAACTGGCAGAATGTAGTAGTCAACCCCTGCTTTCACCACATTGCTCTCGATGTCGAGCACCGGGGAGGGTTGTTCAGAGGCTGGGCAGAGTTTGCAGATGGAGAAGAGAGTGAAGATGAGAAGAAGATGAGCTTTCTTCATTTTTTTTTTTTTTCTGTTAAGTGTGCTTTGTTTGTAGGGATGGAAATGTGGATTAGTATGTTGTGTTTTTATAGCTTTGAGGGAGAAGGAAAATGTGTGGCTGCACGTAAGTTGAATGTTGACTTTGGGTTTATAATAACTGAAGTTTGAATCTCACCGTATGTTTGGTCAAAGTCGACGGCAAGGATATCGAGATGAATGTTAGCAATTAAAGAAGGGTTATTTACTCCTTCAAGAAGAAAGAAGGGTTATGAACTTATGATCAGGTCCTTGAATGCAAAAGCCTCATGTCGAGTTAATCTGCAAATTTTCAGGTAACTGGAATATATTGTATAGTTAAGAGTACAGTTCAAGAACTTTTTGCTGATTTTGTTAGTTTACAAGGATATGTTCACAAATTCTGGGTGTCTGAGTTTGGTCAGAAAGATGTTAAATGTATTCAAAGTCAACACATCACATGTACAATACTAAACATTGTTTTGACTGTTTCCATTGGTTACCAACCAAGTTGGGCATTCACACATTGAGATCAAAAGGATAAGATCTAATCCTCATATGACATTACTCAATGCCTAAATATGAAAGAAAACTTTGCCTTCCAATCGATGACTTGTTCAAAATGAACACATTAATTAAATATAAATGCACCTTCCACTCACTAGTTCAATAATCCAAGGCATCGAGAGGACAACAAACAAGCTATATGTAGATGCAGAGAACCTTTTTTTAAAAAAAAAAAATAACTCAAGATAAGATTTAGGACCAACCTTATGACTTGTTTTAGCAGTTACGACCCGGGCAGATTGAGCTGCTTTTGCCGTGGGCCTAGTTCCTGCCATAAGCCAATCAACCAACTTTATAAGGATTTAATAGCATTTTCGTACACAGTTTAGGACAAGATGCAGTTGAACAGATTATGTAAGTATGTAACATTAATACAAACAATAACTTTTACCAAACAGGTCAGTAACATAATGCATCTGTAAGATTTATATCATACTATTAAACAGGTCTTGAATGGAGAGAGAGAGAGAGAGAGAGAGAGAGAGAGAGAGAGAGTAATGGAACAAACAGCTTTCGAAGACATGAAAATGAGAAATCTTGATCGATCATACGAAAAAATAAAAAGTGAAAAAAAAAAAATTGAAAACAAACTACACCTTTATAATTTATGTGGTGATCAAATTCATAGCCAACCAATGATTCTTCCTATGTTGTTTTTCTCTTGCTTTCTTGTACGCAGTATTCTTTACAAACAAACCGAACTGAACCTCCACGATCTCCCGTTCACTCAATGATAAGAGGATTAGCATCTGATTTTAATTGTTCAATCATCCCATCCAAAACAATCGAAACTTTATCACCAACACGTTGCTCGACAGCTTCCGCAAGGAACTCATGAACAACGCCATCAACTTCGATCCAACTGCAACCGGGTGTTTTCTTGATCCTTTGACCTCTCATCATCTTCATCACCCTTAAAGCATCAAACCACATGTTTTTCGACCGATACACATGCCAAAGGAGAACATACACTGAATCATCATGTGGTTCCAGTTCAAATATTTTCTTCCCAAATAATTCAGCCAACTCTAAATTCCCGTGTTCCAAACAAGCCCCTAAAAGCGATCTCCAGATAATGGCATCTGGCTTCAGAGGCATCCCTTCAATCAGCCTTATGGCTTTCTCTAAATGTCCTGCCCGGACAAAAAGATCAACCATGCACCCAAAATGCTCAATTCGTGGTTTCAATTTGTAACTATTCACAAAGCTGTCAAATAGTCTCTCTCCATCATCAACTAATCCTGCATGGCTGCATGCGGATAAAACTGACAGGAACGTAACTTCATTGGGGATGAAGCCGGATCTCACCATTGAGTCAAAAACCACAAGGGCGTGTTTACCTTTTCCGTTTAGCGCCAGACCAGAAATCATAGTGGTCCATGAAAACAAATCTTTTCTCCTCATGCTATCGAAGAGCTTCAAAGCCGAATCAAGATTGCCGCTTTTTCCATACATATCTAACATACCATTATTCACAGCAACATCCGAAGCAAACCCGGCTCGTTTGTTAATGTACCCATGAAGCGAACTTCCTAAATGAAGGGCCCCAATGTCCGCGCAACCCGAAAGCACTGCCACAATGGTAACAGTAGTGGCATCACACTGTTCTCCAACTTCATCACGCATCATCTTCGTGAACAACTCTAATCCTTCAATTGCATTCTTCTTACGCACATGACCTACAATCATCGCTGTCCAAGAAACCACATTTCTTTGAGGCATTTCGTCGAACACGGCCTGGGCAGATTCCATATCTCCACTCAGTATATGCCCTTGGAGCAAGCTTGTCCAAATGGCGACATCCCTAATATTTGTGTTACTAAACACTCGCTCAGCTAATCCAACTCTGTTATTCTTACCATACATGTCGATAAGCGCGTTGTGCACGCTGGGCCTTGGCTTCCGAAGGTACTTGTACACCAGCCCGTGGACTGCTCTTCCATGTCTTAAATTCTTTGAGCGCGCGCATGCAGAGAGAGCTGCGACTATGGAATGGGAATCGGGTTTCGCAAATTCGGACGTTATTAGCTTGGAGAATACGGTTAAGGCTTTAGTGGGCTGTTTACTATAGAGGTAAAGATTCTGGAGAGAGTTCCATAAGCCCACATCTGGGTTTGGCAATAGGTCGAATATTCTCTGGGCTTCAACTGGTTTGTTAAGCTTCGCATACGCATTGAGCAGCATGCAGGCGGAGTTATGCTGAAAGTCTCCGATCCTCAAGGAGTGAGCTAGGATTTGGTTGAGAAGATTGAAGTGGCTTCCGCATTTTTCGAGTAGGTTCTTGATTGGAATATGTGTCATCTAATTGATCAGAAGATGTTTGTGTGGTTTTTCTTTATTCGTCGAGGAATGAAGACTTTAAGCTGAAAGATGCCATTTTTACCGCCATTTCTGCTTTGTATTCGTACTACTTTTCCGTGGAGGGCAAAATCGTCATGGCAAAATATTGATGGGGTTTAACTTTATCCTGGCGGACCTGACAGAGGAAGAACAAATAAAGGGGAAAGCGGCGACCGGCAATGGCAAGCCTTAATCTTGGCCTTCCATTTCACTCCGTCGCTGGCCGGAGTCTACGGCGCCGGTCGTTGAAACCAGCCGCTCGTCAAACAGTTTCATGTTCTAGTTCTCTCACGAATAAGGTTAGTCAGTAGTGAGTTTATAGCTCACAGACCACGACCGGCAATGGCAAGCCTTAATCTTGGTCTTCCATTTCACTCCGTCGCCGGCCGGAGTCTACGGCGCCGGTCGTTGTAAAAAGATATTTTTTTTTTTGGCTTTTTGAGCAGTTTAAGAGGGCGTACACGAGCGTGATGATAGTGCCAACTGGAGTGGGAGCGGCAATTGGCGGCTACGCCGGGGATGCTTTGCCGGTGGCTCGAGCTCTCTCCTCCATCGTCGACTGCCTCATCTCTCATCCTAATGTAAGTTTTCTTCTGAATTTATGCATTTTATGGTGTAAGCCAAAAAAATCCTTTGCAAGTCCAAACTTGTTTCTTCCTTACTGGGTTTTGCCTCTGCAGAACTTTAATAGCTTCTGCTTTGAAAATTTCATATGCAGCTTTGCTGTAAGACTTGGTTCATAAGTTGGGTAGTTTCTTATACAAAGGTTGAGAATTTGTTGTTAATGGTCAACTGGGGCTGGAGTATGTGCAGGTAACATGTTTGATGATTAGTGATAAGAAAGAAAAAAATGTCCTTCAGTTGCATCAACAAATACATGAGTGTAATGATGTCCAAGTGTTGCTGCACGTGTTGGAAATCATAATTTACGAATAAATAAATATATTAGAGAAATTAGATTACTCAATATCATTTGTGGAGTCATGGGCCAATGTGTTGCTATAGCTTTCCAAGTAGTGAGCATGCGTTGACTATTATGAAGTTAACTCGACTGCTTTTCATTATGTCATTAAGGATTATAAAGGATGACTTATGGTGTCATTTGTTGCATGAGGATGAAGTGTATGAAGTTTGTATAGTTTCAGTTCTTTTATGTGTTGTAATTTTGTCAGGTTCTTAATGCAGCAATGCTCTACTGGCCAATGCCAAACGTGCTATATGTCGAGGGCTATGCACTTGATAGATTTGCTGAAGGCCATTGGGCACTACAGCCGGTTCATCAGAATAAGGTGTGGCCCACCCTCATGAGTCGCACATCATTTTTTCACATTTATATTGCTCTCCATGTATTTTTTTCATCTGTTTGAACATGAATGCATGTAATGTGAGGTTAGGTGGGGCTGGTTCTTGATGCTGGAATAGAAGAAGACCTTCGGCTTCGTCACCTGCAGGTGGTGGATGCAACAAGGGCTTCTCTCGGTTTGCCTGTTGTGGAGTACACTGTGACTGATGCTGCTTTACAGGTATGCAAAGTTATTGTTGATAAGTTGTACGATGTAAATGCGGTGATGCTCGATTCTGTATGTCTTGTGTAGGGATGAAAACGATCGGGAACGATCGGCATAGGGCTCAACCATTTCCACTTTCATATTTTTTTCTCGAAAACGAAAATGATACGATAATGTCGGAAACGAAAACGACATCGGTATTCCGGTAATATCGAAAACGAAACTATCCGATCGAAAATACATCGATAACGATCGAAATATATTAAAACGGTATTTAAAAAACGATAAACACACCACATGATAAAATATAGCATTAAAACATAAATTGAAATATTCTCACGGCATAATAGTGGCAAAATCCAAATTAAATCCACGAGAGTGAAGACCGAAAGGGGTGAAGGGGATTTCAGGATTTGGGCACAGGGTTGGGCTGAAGGGGATTTGGGCATTTGGCCCATTTGGGATTTGGATTGGGCTTTATAATTAAAAGTGAGCCTAGTATGAGTTGGGCCGGTATTACCGACGGTAAAATACCGTTTAAATACGGTAATTTTCGAAAACGATCGGAAAAGGGCTAAACCGTTTTCGTTTTCATTTTCGAATTTTTTTACCGTTTTCATTTCCGTTTTTCCGGTTACCGTTACCGTTTCCATTTAGCCTCCAAATCCGAAAAAATTTCGAAAACGATTCTCGGTAATCGGAAATTACCGTTTCCGTTTTCATCCCTAGTCTTGTGTAATTTTAGGTGGAAAAGTGGATTGAACTAGAAAGTGGACAATCAACCGGGAGGATAAAACGACTGGATTCCCTCTTAAGGGCTGTGGAGAAATTAGTAGATACAGCCAGTGTAAATGCTATAGCAGTTGTGGCACGCTTTCCTGATGATGATACTGAAGATGATGTGGAAAATTACAGACAAGGCAAAGTATGATTTGTTTTAGCTGACTTATATATCTTCTTTTCTTGTTTGGAATTTCGCTTATCGTTCTTCATTAAGGCTCTCTCATGACTGCAGGGAATTGATCTTCTGGCAGGTGTAGAGGCGGTGATAAGCCATCTGGTGGTGGAGAGATTCGGGATACCTTGTGCCCATGCTCCTGCATTATTACCTTTTCCATTAAATTCGTCTTTATCCCCAAAATCAGCTGCAGAAGAGGTTGGTCCGTTGGTATTCTTCATTTTCAATATGAAAGTACTTTCTTTGGTGGGAGGGGATAATGGTGAAAAAAAAGACCCCGAGATTTTTGGTCTAACTACAAGAAACTGCAGTTCTGGCTAATATATTTTTTGGCTTGGTGCATTTTTTTCTGTTTTTCTTCTCGGACAACATGAAACTCGCCTTTTATATTAAGCAATCCAAGACGAGCAAGAATGCCTAATCCTGAAACTAACTTGAGAAAAACCCCAAAAATCTAACCTTCCATCCCAGAAAATATAGGGAGATAGAAAGAGCATAACAAGAAGTTTCGGTTGGTTTAAACATTAAACTCCATTCAATATTTCAACTCCTCTGGGGGTAAGATCTAAAGGAATGTTTATTCTCATGCAGATAGGGTACACATTCTTGCCGTGTGTTCTTGCTGGCCTGAGCACTGCCCCACAGTACTTGGTCGAGAACCCCAAGTTGCTAGGAAAGGACAGTATAGTAGCTAGTGATGTTGACAGTGTTATTCTACCAATCGATGCTTGTGGAGGAGATGGGGCTCTTGCATTTGCCAGCAGGAAAACTAACAGGGTATTTTCTGCAAACCCCCAACAATTAGTTTTAGAACTTTTATTCTCTAAAGTTCTTAAAAGTTAAAGCACATGACTAGAAATGCATCTTTAAAACCAGTTTTCTTTTTTTTTTCAGCCACTTATAATTGCAGTCGAAGAGAATGAAACAGTTTTGAGTGACACCCCTGATAAACTCGGGATCCAAGCAGTAACAAGCCAACCTTTTTGCTTTTTTTTTTTTTTCGAACGTTTTGATGATCCGAGTGTTAAAGTTGCACCTGGTTTTTATATGCCTTTTGGTTCAGGTAAAGGTAGCTAATTATTGGGAGGCAATAGGAGTTGTGGCAGCTCATAAAGCAGGAATAGATCCTTTTTCCTTGAGGCGAGACGGAATAAACAACATACGGCTCACGATGAATCATAACTATCATAATAATGCTTCCTCTTTGAATGGATGTGGTGCTGTGGCCGGGAATTTTCTTTCTTAGAGGATCAAATTTCATTTTTATGTGCTCCATTTTAGGGGAAGATTTTGTAGTTTTCATGTTTTTAAGCATATGTATACTTGCACTAAAATCATCTGTCTCAAATCTGTTTGGCAGTTTGTAGCACAGTTGCCAATTGTGTACAACTCAAATTCCTTGTAAATTTTAGTTTTACCTATCATTATAATGGAATAAAATTTTCTCTTTCTTTTTAACCCTGCAAAACAAGAAACTTGAAAAGATTCAATTTAATTTAAAAAATTAAATTGAAAAATATAATTGGAAAAAGAATTAGAGAATTGCGTGAAATAAATGGAGTTATAGAATTTTTTTGGCTTCGTTTATTTGATTTTTTTTTCATCTACAATTGGCAATAATTGTTTTGTTTTATTTTTTAAAATCACTATCCATCAAATTCCACATTTTCTCATCACTCTTGTTAGCATAATTAAATACTAAAAATCTATCACTAGTTGAAAATCATTTTTTTTTACCGGTTGGATAATACTTTTAACACATTTTATAACTCAAAATTCAATTTAACTTTAAGTCATTTCTTATCAATTCACATTTTAATTACTCTTCATTTTTAATCTACTCTCTCATACTTTTACGGTACATCAACTTTGATTATCACAATTTAAATATTTTTAAATACAAATTCAAAATTTCACTGATTACTCCACTTATCCATTTTGTTTTTTTCAAATTAACTTTTTTCCAATCAAAACCATTTTTTTTTTTATTTCCAATACACTATACATATTTTTCAACAAAACTTCTTATTTATATTCTCACCTATTTTTAAATAAAATTATGTTACATTTAATATTTTATTATTTTTCTAATAAATTAATTTTATTTATTAAATTTTATTTTATATTCATTCATAAAACTCAAAATTATTTCATTCCTCCACCATAAAATTTCCCAATATTTTAACTCCATTTTTCCATTCAGACATTTTTTTTTTAGAAAAAAGAACTATATCCTACCAAGAAATTCAAAACTATTCTAGAGTGTACTTATGTAAATACAAACACAAATTTATCTATCTAATTATATATACTCCCTCACCGAATTGTACCAATAAATTCCATTCGTCTTATCCTCTTTGTTCAGAACTTGAGAGTTGAGAGCTTCTGCAGAAGATGTAATGGAGCTCTAGAGTCAGCCCTTGCTGCTGATTCAAATCTCATCTTCCTTATCCTTTGATTAGTGCTGTGCGAAAAATCACAAAAAAAAAACCCATGGAAGCTTCAGGATTTATGAACAGAGTCTCCACTCTCCACACCCCATTTTCAAAATTAGCCGCCTTCAAAACTGTACATCCCATTTTCAACCCAAGAGTCAACCTAAGCTCCCTTTTTCAAAAACAGTGTTGGATAAAATCTGTGAAAAATGTTGGCACCGGTGGCAAGGACCTCGTACCGGTTGAAACTGGCGATTACGACAGCGATGATGATGATGATATGGCTGAGGATGTTTCAGAAAAGGAAAAGGGCTCTGTTGCTCGCAATCTAAGTTGGGAGGCGGTGTTTCTTGGTGAGGTAGACCCAAATGGGTCTTTGCCCTCTGCGAAAAAGAAAAAAATGCCTATATCTAGTCTACTGGCCGAAACCGATCAAATGGATTGGTGCGTAAGAGCTAGGAAGGTCGCTCTGAAGTCTATCAAGGACAGAGGATTGACCTCGAGATTGGAGAGGATGGTTACTGGTGGTGACAAGAAGAAGAAAAAAAAGAAAAAGAAGAAGAAAAAGCTAGCCAAAATCAAGAAAGTAGTGGATGATGAAGACGAACTCGATGATGAAGACATTGTGAATATTACAGATTTGGACATTGGTGATGATGATTTTTTTGATGTGGGTTCTTCGGACAAGACGAGCCACCTTAGAAAATCAGTGAGCATGATGGCTGGCGGGATGTTCCAAGAAAGGACTGAAAAATCCATGGAAACATTCGTCCAGCGGCTTTCGCAGATTTCGGGCCCTACGGACCGTAGGAAAGAGGTTAACTTGAACAAGTCTATTGTTGAGGCTCAAACTGCCGAACAAGTTTTGGAGGTTACAGGCGAGGTGATAATGGCCGTGGCAAAAGGGCTCAGCCCATCACCTCTTTCGCCTTTGAATATTGCCACGGCTTTGCATAGAATAGCTAAAAACATGGAGAAAGTGTCGATGGTGAAGACACGTAGGCTGGCTTTTGCACGGCAAAGAGAGATGTGTATGCTTGTGGGGATGGCAATGGCCTGTTTGCCCGAGTGCTCGGCTCAGGGACTCTCGAATGTTGCGTGGGCTTTGTCCAAGATAGGCGGCGAGCTTCTATATATGTCAGAAATGGATAGGGTTGCTGAGGTGGCTTTGACGAAAGTAGACGAGTTCAATTCTCAGAATGTCGCGAATTTAGCGGGAGCTTTTGCTTCAATGCAGCATTCGGCTCCGCAACTCTTTCAGGAGTTATCAAAGAGGGCCTCGAGTATAATTCAGAGTTTTCGGGAGCAAGAAATCACACAACTGTTGTGGGCTTTTGCTTCTCTGTACGCGGCTGCAGATCCTATACTTGATTCTCTGGATAATTTATTTACGAATGTGAAGCAACTCAAATGTAATGAAAAATCAGATGTTGATGATGAGAGAGGTGAGGAAAGCTGTGAAAATGGTGAACTTGGAGAATTTTCAGACCCGGGTACACTCGTATTTTCAAGGGACCAACTGGGGAATATGTCTTGGTCTTATGCAGTTTTGGGGCAGTTGGATCGCGTCTCTTTCGCTCGTTTATGGAAAACTTTGAGCTGCTTTGACGAGCACAAGTTGTCCGAGCAGTACCGAGGAGATGTTAGTTTTGCCTCTCAGCTTCACCTGGTGAACCAGTGCTTGAAACTTGAGCACCCTCATCTTCAGTTAGCGTTGACGGATGAACTGGAGACCAGAATTAATAGTGCTTGGAAAACGAAAAAGTTTAATCAGAAGGTGACTTCTTCATTTCAGAAGGAGGTGTACCGTTTGCTGGTTAGTACTGGGCTTGATTGGGTCAAGGAATATACTGTTGAGGGCTACACTTTGGATGCAGTCTTGGTTGACAAGAAAGTTGCTCTGGAGATTGATGGGCCAACCCATTTTTCAAGAAATTCTGGTGTGTTCAATGAAGTTGGCTGGCGTAACTTGTTGTGGATAATGTGGTTTAACGTGACGTGATTTTGTTTGCACTTTGACTCACTTTGATAATTTCATTTCTTTGCAGGAGTTCCTCTAGGGCATACTATGCTAAAACGTCGTTATATTACTGCAGCTGGGTGGAAGCTCGTGTCCGTGATTCATCAAGAAGTAAGTTCTTGTGTAGTAGTAATTTGTTGTATAATCCTTGTCATTCAGATTTCCGTATAAGTGATAAGGTTACTCATCATTTTTTAGGAGACCAAGCGTTTGTTACTTTTCTGTTTCGCTATTTGCGCAAATTATTAACTTAAAGAAACACTAATGAGTAATGGCATGGTTTTGTAGACAAAGGGCCTTGAGAATAAGATGCTCTCATTCAAGGTTTCAGTCTCTCATATGTAATCTGTTATTGTGATGCGTAACTCGTCTATTCTAATTTGTCTGTTTAGAATTCTAATGCCAGCCTCTAACAAAAGGAAGTTCCAATTGGTGTATCATAATAATTTGTGTTTCCATGTTGGTATTTTGAAAATGGGGTGAGTTCTCATTCGTTGTCATGTTTATTTGCAGTGGGAGGAACTTCAAGGTGAATTTGAGCAGTTGGACTATCTCAGAAGGATACTTGATGAAGGCATGGGTGTAGGAACTGGGGAAGGTGTCTCTTCAAAATAGAACAATTATCAACAAGTGTATTTGGGTCCATCTTACAGTTTGCAGTTTTATAGGCAGTTATTTGTGTCCATTTTACAGTTTGATGTCCTATCGCGAATGCATCACTGTACTTGTTAATAATTTGTGTTCCCAGGATTTTCATGTCTTATTTTGGCTATAAACAAAATTTAACTAATTAATAATTGAACTTTCTAAAAGAAAAAATGGAAAAGAAGAGAGGAACTTGAATCTCTCCAAAAGTGCCATAGCCAACAAGTAGAGACTGTTTGAAAGCAGGCAGAAACAATGCCATTTTATGCACCATATTCCCAATATTACTGAATCGATTAGTCGGACCAAGATTACAAACAACATCGTTGATTATGTATTGGCAATTCACAACTTTCCCAAAGGGAAGCATAAGTTCTCACAGCAATCTTTGTTAGTGATGACAATCATCTACAAACTCAAACCAGATTGCCTAATGAGCAAGTCTTCAATTTCTAATACAAAACAGGATACTAAGATTGAGACCCTTTCTATTCAACTCCTATTAGGACTGCGGTTGGATGAATATGCCCCTGTAAAGAAGGTACATATATGACATCAGAGGCAATATAAACAACTATCATAAAAGGGAGCAATTGATGCACTTAATTGGAAATAATCGAAAAAACAATGACACTGACCTCTGATTACATGACATTAACTCTTTCACGAATGGACTTCAGATCCGAAACTTTCTTCATGCTGAAAAAAAAAAAAAAG